CACACACACACACACACACACACACACACACACACACACACACACACTTCAGGAGGGAATCTGGACAGAAACTTTATTAATCCTTCAGGCTGTTTGGCTGCTTCAGCTCTCTCCACAGGTTTTCTATAGAACTGAGGTCTGAAGACTGGAAAGGCCACATCATGACCCAAATGTCAATATTTTGTTGCCATCTCTAGACCCATCTTTAGTGTTCTGGTTGAGAGAAATAGGTTCTTAATGTCACGACACAGGGTTTTAGGATTTAAACTCAATAAACAGTCAGAGGTCCAAGAACACTCCAAAAATGGTGATTCGTGAGTTGTGGTCGTAGAGGAGGAGGTCGTTACGGTGATCAGAAGGGCAGAGCAGAGCCAGAGGAGGAGCAGGCAAAACGGTAAATCCACAAGACAAGGCGTGAGGTCGAAAATCCAAATACAGGGCGTGAGCAAGAACAAGATGGCTGGATATCTGGGACCATGAGAGGTATAATAATCTGGCAACAAGTGAGTGAAAGCATGAGGGAGCAGAACAGGTGCAGTGAATCAGAGTTGATGAGCGGAAAGTGCAGAGGGGGCATGGCTGAATGACAGGAGCGGGGAAACAATATGATGACAAAAAGGAGCAGAAACATGACATGAGGGGCTGTGAGCGAGGCAGGGAACAGAGGAAGTGATCATGGCATGAAGGGGAAGAGACGCGAGTATGTGGGGGGCAAGCAGAGACCGCTGATCATGACGCTTAAGTAATATTTTACAATACATGCCCCTGTCAAGGGTTTCTGAACGCAGTGAAGTTGTCCTGTGCAATTAGCAAACAGCTCCAAAGCATAATGTTTCCACCTCCGTGCTTGGCTGTGGGCAATGGTGGTCGTTCTTAACTTGTCTCTTCCTCCAAACACTGCAGAAAAATTGATGCTAAAGAGCTCAACGTTGGTCCACTCTGACCGTGTCTTCTTCAACAAGGAGACATTGTAGATGCTTCAGGGTTTCAGTCCATTAAAGTGTGATGTGTTACCAACGGTGTCCTTGGGGTCCCAGCTGCCTTCAGATCATCCACAAGCTCCTCTCGTGTAGATGTTGAAGTTATAGTCTGATCCCTCACTTTTCTCATAAACATGAGAAGTCCATGAGGCAAGACTCTGCATCGACCTCCAGATCGTTTGCCATTTTATATTTCTCCCATTTCTGAATAATCACACCAGATCCCTTCACCACAAGAGTTAACATACTTTATAGAAATTGATTACACACAAACACAACGTTTCTTTAAGAAAACCAAAATTACTTCAGTTGAAACTGTTTTTCCTCTGCCTTTACTGTTGAATAAGCATGTCAGTAGATAACATCCTGCTTTTAATTAAAATGTGTCAAGTTGTAACAAAAAGACAAACAAGTATCTTCTTCAACGCACAACTTCGTTAAAAACATACAAAGGTTTAGTTTACCGATCAATCTGCTTCCTGTAACAGGAGGGAGGACAGTAAATTAACTTGGCATGAAGTTAATAAATACACCAAACGAACCACATAAATACCAGATGCACAATTTATCACATGCGGACAATGTTAAAAACATAAAATATACGTGAAGAAAGGTTTTCATACCGACGTTTCAGGATTAGAAGTTTGACGAGCGAATGTGAGAACCTAGTAAACGAAAATAAAAAGCTTTTAGATTGTACTGTACTTATCAAAACTAATTTCACACTGAACTACAGACTGACGCATGTTATCTCATATTTTCATGGCCTTTCTGACCGGAAACAGAATCTGCGGCAGCGGTAAAACTCCTGCAGCGCCCCCTGCTGGTCGGAGTGGGTCATTGCACTCAAAGGCTTTAATTCTCTCTGACTCTGTCTGTTTGTTAGCAAAATATCTCACGAACCACTGGACGGATTTAAATGAAATTCCCAGCATGTAATCATTGAATGTATGTCTACAGATATTTAAATTTTGGATTAACTCACATTCAATCTGATCATTATATTCAACAGATATTAAAAAACATAAACATTCATTTTTATATATATTAAGATACATTTGGTGTGGTAGTAGCTGAGAATCTGACACAACTCATGCTCTGAGCGCCACACATTGTGCCGTTTTACTGTTATCAATAACTGTTAGAGTCAGCACTGTGTTTATGTTAGTAAAATATCTCATACCCTACTGGACAAGATTTAACAAAACTGTCAGATCTGCAGCTGATTAACTTTAGGAATCACCACAGTTTAAGATGGTCAACAGAGCTAATCAACATTAGCCAACACAAAAATGACTATAATTCAGTCAGTTTTGCAAAAATTGAGCTCAACCTAGTGTGGCAGTGCCTAAGAATCATTCTCAACCCACATATCTCGTCATCCATCCATTATATTTTACCCACTTCTTCCATTTTGGGTCACAGGGGTCGCCGGTGCCCATGTCCAGCAATCACTGTGCGAGGGGCGGGGTGCACCTTGGACAGGTCTCCAGTCCATCACAGGGACACGACAAACAACCATTCACTCTCACCTAGGGGCAATATAGAGTTACCAGTCAGCCTAACATGCATGTATTTGGTCTGTGGGAGGAAACCGGAGTACCCAAAGAAAACCCACGCATGCACGGAGAGAACATGCAAACTCAACCGGGATTTGATCCAGGGACCTGCTCGCTGAGAGGCAGCAGCTCTACCAGTTGCGCCACCGTGCTGCCCAGATCTCATAATATTGCATGATATTATGTAAAACACAACTCCCAAACAGCGTTAAATCTTATCATCCATAAGATTATCTTAGACTAAAACCTTGTCATGAAAGGCATGAGGAGACATGCACTCTGTTAAAGAATGCTAGGCCTTTAATTTTTGATGCACCTTCAACTGAGACTGAAGAACTTGTGAGGTGAGCAGAACAGAAACAAATCACACGACTAAATGAAAGAGCAAGATGAATTAAGCAAGATGAATTTATTAGTTTAATTCAAAGAACGTTGGTGCCACAGCAGCTGAAGCAGATGTTGAAATGTGCAGAGCCACTGAAGGACAGGGGGCTGCTGCTGCTGGAAGAGTTTAAGGTCGTCAGGGTCAGGATTCACAGCAGGAAAGAGTCACAAGCTTAGTTGATGGGATGAAAAGCACCCCTCTGATGCCACTGCATGTCTCTGATGCGGCGGACTGACTGGATCTGGGGGATCTGGGCTCCGAACTCGATGCTGTCCTTGTACTCTCCCTTTTCAAACAGGTATTGGTAGCCTCTGTATCCTGGGTACTGATAGCCCACCCAGCTGGTTCACCAGGGGCACAGAGAGGAAAAGCAGATGTTAGAGGTGAAAATATAAGACACATGTCAGAGCTAAGTCCTCTGCTGGGACTTACGTGCCACTCTGGACTCGAACAGAGGACACCTTCTCCTGGTATCCATGAGCGTGGAAGCTGGGGACATCATCATCTATGATCTCTATCTTCTTCCCTGCAAAGCTGGGGTTTTCATAAAGAACAATCTTGTGCTCCTGGCTGTCCTGAGAGAAAGAAACAAAGCAACCAAAAGAACAAAGATGCTGAGCGGCTGATGGGATGACAGAAGAGTATGGGGGTTATTTGTTGAATGAAAAACTCCTTCTTACAACTTTAATCGGGCGGAATGCAACAATGGTGTCGCTCCGTCTGCTGTTAGTCCAGGAATCCCAGCGAGGATACTCCCCCTTCTCAAACACGTACTGCTCCCCCTTACAGCTGGCCTGCTCGTATCCCACCCATCTGACAGGACAGAGGAAGAGATGGCTAGTTTAGTACTCCTAGATATGTCTTTTTAATCTGCAGGCCGTCTTCCACTCATTCACAAAGCCATTCCTCTCTTTATTTGTCTTTACAGGTCTTAATCTAGAATAATCCTAGTCTGGTTCTGTGTCTCTGTTTGCCTGCCACCCACACTCACGGTCCACACAGCACCAGTATGGATCCCACTTTCTCCACGCCTGCTTCCTGGAGGTTGTTACAGGGACCAGTCAGCTCATGGCAGCGTCCCTGGAAGTTTTCCTGCTCATAGACAACCAGCTGTGTGTCGACATGGAAAAGAGAGGAGAGAAAGCATTAAACTGAGTGTCGTCGAGCTCTTGGTCTGAAAACCCGATGGAGCAACTTGATGTCTGGGATACAAAACAATCTGAGAGCCATGAGTGCTCAGTCACAGTTGTAAATGTCCTCAT